TATCTACACTCGTACATTGTGATTATAAAGTAATTGACAAAATAGTTTACATTTGTATTTCTTTTTCCTTTTTGTTGGTGCTGTTTTGTAGAGTAGGAACAGACCCATAGCTGACCCTCCAGCGGGTTTTCAGAGATGGTTATTCACACGGGAGAAGACTGCCCATCCTTCCCCTGCAGAGCAGCTGGTGGCCTCGAACTGCTTGAGTTCATTCTTTCTTTTTTTTGTATTTATTTTCTATTCTATACTTTGCCCTGCCTCGGGGGTTTGATTTTTTTCCCTTTAAAGTTGATTTACTTCAAAACCACAGGGTCTTGGAGAGGATAACAAAACAAAAACCAACTCTACAGTGAATTCAAAGAAATGACACCAAGAAAGTTTTGCTAAAGATGTCCTATGTACATATATATAATATTTTATTTTAAAACATGATTGAGCATATACATTTCTTTAGCTTTTTCCATGGAACATTGCACCTATGTTTCCAAACACACAAAATAGATCCCCTTTACTAAACAGTTTTCATTTTTGGGTTACAAAAGTCAATGCTTCACAATCACAAAGCATGAAAGCATAAGGTTCTGGAACCACTTTCAGGCAGATGTTCTCATCCACTGTACATCAAGGATTTCCGGAAGCCCAGACCATGGTGCATTCCTCAAAAATGGTCTCCATCATGGGCCTCTCTGGGTCTCCAGAAGGAACAGGGAAAATGGAGGCAACACAGGAGTGAAAGAATAATCGCAGGACTCCCCAAACAAACACAAAATACTCTTGGAAGAAGACTGGGAGAGTGGAGGGCATAAGGCATGCCTCCTTCAAGTAAGTCACTGTAGAAAACAATAGCACGCTTACAGTCTCATTTGGTCACTGTCTACCTGGTTGCTATATGAACACAATTCCATCTAAGACGTAGGAGAAGGGAAAGAAATGAAAGCTATTTACACAGGTAACATTGTGGGTTAAAAACAGCAATGCTCTCCACAGTGGCACTCAAAGCTGACATAGAGAGCTGTGGTGCTCACATAAGAGGAAAGGCAGCTGCTCACACAGAGTCCTCTGAAAAATCCCAGTGTACTATGTCTGCTACAATACCACGTGAAATCAGAGATCGCTCAGAGAGGTGGGCTGTCGCATGCAAGCTGCAACCTTTCTCTGTCACTCAAAAATCCAGTTTCTCAAATATCCAAGCCTCCAGTAACCTATGAAGTGGCCAAAGACTTTTAAAAATTATTATTATTTTTTGATCTGGTAACATTTAAGGTCAGCCTGGCTGTTCTTTGCATAGACAATGACTCTCACACTGTTCTAAGTGTCCTAGATGCACTAGCTACTGAAAATAGAATCTCATAAAAGCTTAACATATTTGCCCTGAAGACAACGGAGCTGCTGGATCACCGAAGGAAAGGTTAGACCCTAAAGCTGTAGTAGAAAGCTAGCCACTGATCACCTTGTAGTCTTAGAAATAAAGGTGATTGACAGGTGGGGAAGGAGGTAAGATTGGTGAAATCAAAGAGAATCAGAATTTTTAAAGATACAAGAGTTTGCTCCCTGGAGTGTTTCCACACTAGTGTACCTAGTCAAGAAAAAACCCTGCCGTCTGCATGGCCAAGATGTGAGGCCAAAATCAACAATGGGACTCGCCGTCTTGCTCACCAACATGTACTTTTGGCCTAGCTATTCCTAAGGGGATAAAAACGAATGATTAGAAGAGAAGAGAAAGAAGAGGGTGGACTTCACATAACCCCACAGAATCAGACTAACCAGAATTAAAAACAAACAAACATACAAAACCCCATTCAAAACAAAAAACAAGACCAGAAAAGAAAAGCTGCTCTCAAGCCTTCCAATGTTGTAAAACTGGAGAACAACTGAAATCCCCAGTTTTCTGGCTTGGTCACACTAAACAGCTGGGTATTTGGCTTTGTTGGACTTTCTTGTCTCCCTGCCCACCCCAAAACCCAAGGGGAGACCCCCCAAAACCACCACAGAACACACTCTCTCCATTTCTGACTGCTGCTGCTCTCGGCTTTCAGGCGTGAGGAGAACAAAGCTTTGACTGCAGGGTCCAGATGGCATGTGACAATGTTCTCTTTAGGGAAAAGAGTGTCACCAAGTAGTCGGAAGAGCAGGGCCAGTCCCATAAAGGACCCGAGAACAGAAATAACCTTTCATTAAAATAAGAGGCCACAGCCCTCCAAAGACAACCGTAAAGGCTTGATTAGGAAAGTAAATGTTTACTATTAAATACACGTTCCTCTGAGGCTACTAGGCTCAGCCAAGCAGATCTGGCTGTTAAGTCAGATACATACGATTTCAGAATCATGAATAAAGCTCTTTGCCGAATTTTGAGGATGTTGCCTTTTGACCTTTCCAGGAATGCTCCAAGGGTCATAGGTCTACTGACCATGCAGACGTAGTTACTGCTCTTGCGTTACTTGGAGCCTGGGTGGAAAATAAGAACAACACGGAGAAAGCTCAATTCACAGAGCAGTACCAGTGCTGGGCGGATCTGCTGCAGCACTAACAAATCACCTGCTTCACTTTCCACTGTCTGCCTCTTTTGTAGTCTTCCTCCCATGCCCCAAGCAAGAATATGGCTTAAGCATGGTCCCAAGATCTTTCTACCTCAGGAGGCTTCTTTTCCTATGGCTTATGAGAAAAATTCTGGGATACATTTCTAACTAAACCCAGTAGAACTCCATGCTCAGGAGTTAAGGTAAAAGGAATTAGGGAGTTGCAGAGTTTTGTTGAAGATGTGCCTTAGTGGTAGACAAATTGGGGAAATGATTAGATGGTTGTCATGACAGCTATGGGGTATCTGCCCTCAAACTCTGTCTCTAGTGAAGTCAGACAGGAATAAAACAAGAGCTCACGGTAGGGTTCAGATAACAGGCCAAGGAAAGGAAAGAAATAGAAGGCAATGGAAGAAAGTCACACCAGAAAGGAGTGACTGTGGCTTCCCAAAGAAGGCAGCTCAGGGTCCTTCACGGCAGCTTCTCTCAGGTTTCCAATTTGCACTTGACTTTTGGCATTAGTAGAGAAGCTGCGAGTTGACCACACTGTTGTCAGATGCCCGCAGGCTTGCCCGTAGCATCATATTCTGCCAGGAGAGCAAATGGTTTACCGCAGACTTCTCACAGAGACACTGGGTTGGTTAAGATTTGCTGAATGACAGAGAAAAGATATCAGATGAAGACTAGTGACAAGATAGTAATCAAATTCTTCACAGGCAACATTTTGGCAAATACCTGGTGGGGCAAGTTCTCGGAGCCCTTTCCAGGCTGCCATTTTCACGCGGTGGAGTGAATTTATCCTCCTGAGTAGGAAGGCTCCAGACCTTCAGAGGAAAGTTTCCTAGCCTCTCACATCTAGGGAATGAATTCAAACAAAGTCGAGAATGGGATCAGCTCTCCGGCACTTTTGGGGTCATATCAATTGCCAAGTTCCTTACTGGGCTGGAAGAATATTTTAATGACACAAAGCTGTCAAAATGGTGAGGACATCACTGCAGGTGTGCAGGAAGAGAGCCCGGTCATTGGACACTGCTCCACAAGCTCTTCCAGTGCAGAACAAAGGAGAGCAGCAGCCTGCCCAAGAGATGGAGGTGTTTGCGAAACGTTTGTGTTGCGATTCCTCCTGGCTGAGAAGCAGCAAGCAGACATGGTCATGTCCATGGTTTCTGCAGTTGCTGCTGCTTCATGCAGACGGCTCACTTGGAGGTAGAACTACAGTGAGAAGGGGATCTCAGTTCTTGAGGACAAGACCACGATGCCCTGTAGAAGGAACAGGAAGGAGCATGATCGGTCAACCTATTTCAAATTTCCTTATGTCAAAGGGCCATTCTGGGTGCTTGGTCCACCAAGATGTTGAAGAGACTGGAACTGATGTTTCTGGATATGTCTTTGATGCTTCTACTTTGGAGTAGGCTTTGAAGCAGTTAGAGTCAACAGTTAAGATATGCATCCAGAGTGAAGGAATGGTTGTCAAAAGATATGGGGAGCTGACTCATACTAGGACCTTCTGACACCACTGCTGTATTTAAAGGCTGCTTGACATGTGGCCCACTGCACAGCAGGTGGGGCAGGGCCAACCACGCCAGAATCTGAAACCCGGATGCTCACAGAGAAACCACAAGCCACAACAAGGAGGACTGCTGGAGACAATAGAGGGCTTGCTGGTCCAAAGAAACACCCATATTTTCATGAAAACACACTGGTTTGGTAAGAAAATGTAACTCAGGGACAAATCCAGTTCCATAACAAAGACAGCCCTCTGTTAATTCAGGGCACTGCTCCAGATGGCTGTCTGGGTGGTGTGGGATCGAGGCTCTAGGGACAGCCTGGCTGGGCTCTGAAACACAAATTCCTTGGTAAGGAGCTGGAAAGTCCCAGGCCTGTTCAACAGAAGGGAAAGAGTAAGACTCAGGGAATGTCGAAAAAGAGAAAAAAAATCTCTGCGTTACCCAATCATCACCACAAAAGAGACTAATAGAAATGGAGATAGACAGAGAATGTTCTTTGAAATAAAATATCAGGCTTATGGACACTTTCTGAGGCAAAATCCTTGACTTTGCAATGCAGCACTTTAAACCCGTAGAAGTCGGCAGCTTGACCGACTGAAGAGTCTTCTGCCAGTTACACCTGAAAATGGCTGCCCTAGCTACTCCAGAGAAAATAAATATGTTGCATGTGTCCCGGACAGGCAGAAGACCTACTAGGAGGCCCATAAATGGAACCAACAGAAACACAACACTCAGTAGCAGACTTTGTGTTCTGCTGTTGGTGAGTATCCAGACCTGTTACTACAGAGGAAACTGAAACCTAAGGGTCATCTGGAAGCATAACCGGAGGCCTTTTGGCAGCAAACTCCCCGCCCATCCAGTCTGGGCTGGGAAGAGATTGCATCACCTGGAACTCCGCCTGGGCACACCCGATCCTGCCCCGCAAGAGGCATCCTCGCTTTCTCCCCCTCAGTCCTCCCAATCCCCTGGGCTGCTTTCATGACAGTTTGTTTCCATGTATTAAAGGAATGACATATACAGAAATGTCGTCCCCTGAGCCCAGTCGGTCATTAGATATCCGCCATCCTCTGTCCTTCAGGACGCCCCGGGCACGCATCACCAGGTCCTGAGCTGCCAGTGTGTACCTGTGGGAGAGAAAAGGGGAATAAGACAGTCAGTCACTGTATCCGCCAGAATCTGGGGCTGGGCCAGGCTGGGAAGGAAGAGGCCTCATCACTACAGCTGTGCAAACAGTTTTCAAATATCCTTAAAGCCACAGAAAGCGTCGGTCATCTTTGTCAAAAAGGCAGGGTGCTTAATGTGACATTAGTTTTTAGCTGAGTGAGGGACAAGACATTAAGAATATTAAATAACCTCCTAAGTTCCCCCCGCTTCCCATCCCCTTTTGATGTTGCTGGTGATGTTTAACGAGGAAGTATGAGACTGGCCCTAATGTGTCTTCAACGAAGATATGCTCAGGCCCACAGCCTCTCATGGTCATTAACACTATCGATCTAAGTTTATGGGCGAAATGAATGCTTTTCTTTTCAACATATTTATTTTTAGGGCTACATTTTTTTAAAAGTGTGATTTAAGTGAAAGTTTACACGGCATACTGGGTTTTTAATCATTCAAATACATTTTATTTGATAACATTAATTATAGTAATTATAAACATAACTATATAATGATAAAGCCTGATCTCCTACTTATTCTGCATGGCCTTTCCCTTCACCCATCTTAATAAACGTGTATTATCTATTATCACTCCCTTCTCTGGTAACTATAGAATAAAACTGTATTTATTTTTGTAGCAGTCTTTTTCCATTTACAATAAAAATATAGATGTCCTTATGTCAGTTCTGATTCATAGTGACTTCATATGCAGCAGAATGAAACATAACTTGGTTCTCTGTCTTTCTGGCAAGTCCTTATCTGCCTCAGCTTATCATTTTGTCTGCAGTATCATTTCACCCACTTGATTAAGGGACTCTCTCACCTTCCTAACCCCTCTACTTCACCAAACACAATGTCTTCCTCTAGCAAATGACCTCTCTTAATGCTGTGTTTAAAGCAAGTGAGTCAGATAAAACTCTGTTGTTATCCATAAGGTTTTTTTTTTAAATTTATTTTATTATTTTTGTGTGCGTGTACCGTCAAATCAGATCTGACTGGTACTGGAGGAGATTGTCCCTCCTTCCCCGGCAGAGCATCTGGTGGTGGATTCGAACCGTGCGCCTCTGGGATTGTAGTTGCAGCTCCTTGCCACTAGGCCACCAGAGCTCCCCTATCCATAAGGTTTTTAACTGGTTAATTCTCAGATGCAGAATGTCAAGCTTTTTTTTCAAAGTATTTCTTTTTATAAATAAAATTTTATTTTAATTGTGATTTTAATGAATGGTTACAAAGGAGTTAGATTTTCATCCATTCATTGCAGCATTCAGAGTATTTCTTAGTTTGGAATTCCCACTGATAGCCTAATCGACCCTGGGTAACCCTGCTGGCAGCATGGCTTTCAGCAGTATGTAAACCACCACGCTATGCCTAGGATGTACAAGTCTCCTTTTATAAGAAATTGGTTTTTAAAAAGTGAATTGATCTAAAGAAAAATATTTAATAATTACATACATGGCACAGGAGTATGGTAAAATGAGAAAGTAGCATCAGTGAACTCCTTCACCTACTTTACCAGTGCCATCCCTTCCCTCTGACTGACGTAAATAGAAGGAGCTCTCGTAGCTTAGTGGTAAGGAAATGTGCCACTAATTCAAAGGTATGTGGTTTAGAAAGATGGGCAGTCTCCTTCTGGGTGATTTACTGTCTCTGAAAATTATGGGAAAGCCAGCTATGGGTCAGTTCTAACTATAGTACACAACAACAAGGTAAACAGTGCAGAATCATCCAAGAACCTGAAAAGTAGCTTGCTTATAGAGATTTAAGCTCTGAATTGACAGAAAATAATGCCCACCACACTTATGAGAGGAGATACAACCTGAAGGAAAGTATTAGCATTTAAAGAAATATGGGAACTTTGGAGGTGAGGTAGTTTGGCTAAACATGAGTCTGAATTAGCTTCAATCCAAAAAAAAAATAAGATAAACCATTGACAAATGTTTATTTAAATTCTTATCAGAGAAAAGAGAATTCTTGGAAATTTAGTTTCATTATAGTTATTGTGTGCCATTGAGTCAATTACAATTCATGTCTGAACTTTGCCCTGTCTTGGTTTAATTGGCAGGGCCATATTGGGCATGAAGTGGATTGTTTTCTTAGCTTATGCCATTAACCATTTGATTGGCCTTTATTCTGATTTCACACTCACTAAATAACTTTCTGATTAAGATCTGCCCCCTTGTGTAGGTCTGCCTACAGAGAAAGAATGAGCGAGTCACCTGTACATGAATAATAGCAGCCAGTTATATTTCTCTATATAAATGTCAACTGGCATTTTGGTTTACAAATCAACCTTGGGAGCTTGGTTAAGGTGAATCCAGCTCTGATAATGAATCTATTCTCTGTGTGTTGATTAAACCTGTTTCTGAAACTAAGAAGCTAGGAGCTAGGCTCTGGTAAATCACCAGGATAATAAATGTCATTCTATGACTCTTGGAAGGCAGCCTGTGAGTCTTTTACAAGAGACCACCCTGATATTGCCAGTGACCTTTCTCTTCACGGAGGACCTCAGCCTTGACTTCAGAGCTGTGAATTATGGAACCTGGAAGACAAACAGCCCTTCCATCCCCCGCCACCATTAAAACCTCTTATGAATTTCCATCTCTCATGATGAAAAGATACCTGGAGGTCATATAACTCCATTGCTACATTATTTAAGAACATGACCTCAGAACTACTAAGCTTCCAAGCTATTGAGTCTTTGAGAGTAATGTCTACTGGCATGGTCTTGGTAGTGGATGTGAGGGTTACTCTGCAGGTGTCACACAAGAGGCAATTTTTGTCAACACAAAAGAAATATCCTTTCTTTTACAGGCTGGGTGGCATTTGCCCCAAGAGATTATGAGCTTTGAAGCAGGAATCTCTAAGTTACACTTTAACATCTAGGATAGATGCAAATAGTTAACCCTCTTTGAGGATCTTACTCCTATGAGATGAGGAAATATACGGAAAAGTCTCTAAAGAGTCAACTGAATTGTCATAACCCACATACTATAATGAATATGCCATTATTCAGAAGACCTCCTCAGATGCTCATCCCAGGTTACTCTTTATTTTAAACTATATATCTGGGATGTAACCAAGTAGGGAAAGGCCACCAGTAACATCTGGGTGACATTTATTACCCTGATGATTTACCATAGTCTAGACTTTAGCTTTCCTGGTTCAGAAACCTGGTTAAGTTACTATACAGAGTAGATGCATATATCTGGGAAGAACTCAGCTGAACTCCTAAGTGAGCTCATGAGTTATGACAAACTATGAGATGATGGTTGACAAGGAAAGAGAAATACTAAAAAAAATTATATATATATATATATATATTTATATATACATTAGAACACACCTTTCTGCAGCCACTTAGTGCAAAAGTAAATAGTATGATAGACATGTTCTTCAGGCATAGGACAATGACTGAAAGAGCAAAACAAGGGTAGAGGATGTCAAGCTGGTTTTAAGTCATGGAATGGTATGATCTTTATTTCAAGCCAAGAAGTCATCCTGATATTGTTAGTAACATTTAGTATTTTAGGCCCAGTAGCCTACTAATAGAAGGAACCCTAATGATGCAACAGTAAGTGCTTTATTGTTGTAGTTTTATGCTGTCGAGTCGTCTGTGACTCATAGCAACCCTATGTACAACAGCCCTAAACTCTGTCCTATCCTGTGCCAATCTCACCATCTCTGACACACTTTACCCCCATTATCCCAGTCACTCAATCAATTCACCTCATAGAGTCTTCCTCTCCTGTGCTGTCCCTCCACCCTCCAAACCATGACGTTCCTCTCCAAGGACGGTTCCTCCTTGCAACATGTCCAAAGTATGTCAGATGAAGCTTCAGAAACCTTGCCTCCAAGGAGCAGCCCGGCTTCACCCTCTCCAGGACAAACCTGTTTGTTCTCCTAGCAGTCCATGGTATATTCAACACTCTTCTCCAGCACCACAGCTCAAAGGCATCAATTCTTTTTCTATCATCCCTATTCACTGTCCAGCTCTCTTATGCATAGTAAGTGATTGCAAAGACCATGGCATGTATCAGGCACACCTTAGTCTCCATACTGACATCTTTGAACTTCAGCACTTCAGAGAGGTCTCTAACTGCAGACTTTTCCATCACAATACATCTTTTAATTTCCTGGCTGTTGGTGCCAAGAGTGTTGAATGTGGATCTAAGCAAACCAAAACCGTGAACAATCTCAATCTCTTCACCATCCATTATGATGCTACCAATCAGCCCTGTGGTGAGAATCTTTGTTTTCTTGACATTGAGCCTCAATCCATACTGAAGACTGCAGTCCCTGAACTTCCACAGCAAGTGCTTCAGGTCCTCCTCATAGAGCCCAGCCTCCCAGATAACCTGTTCTGCATAAAGATTGAAAAGGTATGGAGACAGGATACAGCCCTGGTGTACACCCTTCCCAATTTTGAACCATGCAGTGTTTCCTTGCTCTGTTCTGATGACTGCCTCCTGGTCTAAACATAGGTTTCACATTAGCATGATCAAGTGTTCTGGGATTCCCATTCTTCTCAGAGTTAGCCACAGTTTGTTATGATCCACACAGTCAAATGCCTTTGAGTAATCAATGAAACAAAGATAGACATTCTTCTGGTACTTCTTGCTTTCAGCCAAGATCCATCTAACATTAGCTACAATATCCCTAGTACCACAGCCCCATCTAAATCCAGCTGCACTTCTGGTAGTTCTCTGTTGATGTGCTGTTCCAGTAGTTTTTTAATAATCTTCAGCAAAATCTTGCTTGAATGTGATATTAATGATATTGTTTGATAATTTCCACACTCTGTGAGATCACCTTTTTTTGGAATTGGAACAAATATAGACCTCTTCCAGTCAGTTGGCCAAGTGGTTGTTCTCCAGATTTCTTGGCACCACTTGGTGAGCCCATCCACGGCAGCATCTGTTAGCTGAAATACTGTCACTTGGTAAACCATAAATTCCTGGGGCCTTTGGCC